AAACTCATACGTTTTGTTCATCTTCAAAGCACAAATGAAGATATTTTAATGAAACCTGAGAGATTTGAAAGTTTATTCCACCAAAATTTGACACTCCATAAAGACATCTTAAAAGTAATCAATATGAACTGAGTAGTTGAATCCAAATCTTTTGAAGACACACAAATATGGTACAAAAATGGCACTAAAGCTGCAACTACTGCAATGACTGCCTACTAGATGGCTGTGCTGATTAGCCAGATTATATCATGCGTCTCCATCATGCATGCATATTTAAAAAAACAATTCCGCGTGAGCTAGCAGCAGGGCTGTGCGATTAATCAAATTTTAGTTTCAGTTTTGATTTTGGCTTCCAACGGTTATGAAAGCGTGATAATCAAAATAAAATGAAAATGCCGCATGCAGTTCCTGTGCGTGTGCTCTGAGACAGAGCAGAACATGGATGAGCAAAGTATATTTGGGGTTTCAGGCTCGTGATCTGAATATAATGGGCGATATATTGCGTCGCCAAAAATGATTGAGGTCATGTACATATATTGCGCGATGTCGATATATTGATTATTGCGACAGGCCTATTAATGCCTTACTTATAATCAGCTCTTATCCTGATGATGTTAACTCTGAATGACAGCTTTAGGACGTTGCTGGCCGAACAGCTCACCTAAATTCATCTTTGGGTTCTTATTCTGCACATCTCCCTCTGGCAGCCATCTGCGTCATCGGTGCAGCGCTGGCTCAGTCTCTGACCTCTGCCTGCTCATTTCAGGCATCAGCTCTCAGGATGTTTTAGTAATGACAGGAGGAATTTGACATACTGTGAATAGATATAGATTCAAATTGGTTATTTATTTGCATATAAAGTTTGTTTGGTTGCTTGTGGTTTCTGGCTGTGTAACATTAAGTGAAAATAAGCTATGGAAATGCGTTTTAAAGCAGAGACAGACATCACAGGTCATGTAGTGCCTTGAGTAGCAGGCAGACAGACGTTGGTGTTTAGTTACTTGTGTCTCGGATGGCTTAAAGCATCATGAATAACTGAATGGTCGTGTCTCTACGCAGACGTGAATGGAGAAAAGAAAGTGGCTCTCAGCATCATGAATAAAGGCTTCTACAAACTGCATGATTTTAGCAATCCTATAAGATCATTGCGAATCACACTGTGCGACATGGATCTGATAAACTTGGGTACGACATGCATGCAGACTGTACGATTTTGACACCTATTGACTCGTAGACTATGACGCACATTACTATAGAAGAATAAAACTGTACGACATATGACCCCGATCACAGAAATCGCCAATTCTTCACAACGCCAATCTTTTCGTCAGGGACAGCTGAAAATCGTTTAGTGTGTCTTGGGTTTAAGATGACACGAGATATTACCATTGGAGAAGTACTAAAAAACTTGCACATTATGCACTGCACATAATTTGCCAGTGACTTGTTTCTGTGATGAAAATTGGAAAGGCAAAAATGAAGAAATATGGTTTAATTAACAAAAAATATTTAACTGGCAATCCTAGTTAATGATAAATTTATTTAATGCAACACCATTTGGGTGTGATGGACAGTTATCAATAATATGTATAAATAAAAATACATTAGAAAATGTAATTGTAAATAAAAATATTAGTTTTTATTTATTAATTTGTAAAATGATAAATACACTGAAAAAAATGATAAACGCAATACTTTTGTTTTTGCCCCCATTTTTCATGAGCTGAACTCAAAGATCTAAGACTTTTTCTATGTACACAAAAGGCCTATTTCTCTCAAATATTGTTCACAAATCTGTCTAAATCTGTGTTAGCACTTCTCCTTTGCCGAGATAATCCATCCATCTCACAGGTGTGGCATATCAAGATGCTGATTAGACAGCATGATTATTGCACAGGTGTGCCTTAGGCTGGCCACAATAAAAGGCCACTCTAAAATGTGCAGTTTTATCACACAGCACAATGCCACAGATGTCGCAAGTTTTGAGGGAGCGTGCAATTGGCATGCTGACTGCAGGAATGTCCACCAGAGCTGTTGCCTGTGAATTGAATGTTAATTTCTCTACCATAAGCCGTCTCCAAAGGCGTTTCAGAGAATTTGGCAGTACATCCAACCGGCCTCACAACCACAGACCACGTGTAACCACACCAGCCCAGGACCTCCACATTCAGCATCTTCACCTCCAAGATCGTCTGAGACCAGCCACCCAAACAGCTGCTGCAACAATCGGTTTGCATAACCAAAACATTTCTGCACAAACTGTCAGAAACCGTCTCAAGGAAGCTCATCTGCATGCTCGTCGTACTCATCGGGGTCTCGACCTGACTGCAGTCCGTCGTCGTAACCGACTTGAGTGGGCAAATGCTCACATTCGATAGCGTTGAGCATGTTTGGGATGCTCTGGATCGGCGTATACGACAGCGTGTTCCAGTTCCTGCCAATATCCAGCAACTTCGCACAGCTATTGAAGAGGAGTGGACCGATATTCCACAGGCCACAATCAACAACCTGATCAACTCTGTGCGAAGGAGATGTGTTGCACTGCGTGAGGCAAATGGTGGTCACACCAGATACTGACATTTTAGAGTGGCCTTTTATTGTGGCCAGCCTAAGGCACATCTGTGCAATAATCATGCTGTCTAATCAGCATCTTGATATGCCACACCTGTGAGGTGGATGGATTATCTCAGCAAAGGAGAAGTGCTCACTAACACAGATTTAGACAGATTTGTGAACAAATGTACAGTGCTCTCTCCCACCTTCAATACCACGACTGAGGTGCCCTTGAGCAAGGCACCGAACCCCCAACTGCTCCCCGGGCGCCGCAGCTGCCCACTGCTCCGGGTGTGTGTTCACGGTGTGTGTGTGTTCACTGCTGTGTGTGTGCACTTTGGATGGGATAAATGCAGAGCACTAATTCCGAGTATGGGTCACCATACTTGGCCAGATGTCACTTCACATTCACATCACATTCACATAAATAATAATAATCATTTCATGTTTCTTTTCATGTTTATGCCTCTAACAGTTCTACAATAGTGAGCAAAATAATAGTATATCAAATAAAAAGTATAAATATATTCCAGATAATATTTTATATTTCTATATAATTATACAGCTGCCTTTATATTTTAGTGAGGGATTGGATTGAAAAAAGTAGATGATCATATTTGGACTGCAGTCCACAAACGGTCACTATCAAATTGAACTGAACTTGAGCAGTTCTGCAAAGAACAAAATGTCATTTTAAAGGGGTGTGATTCTTTTCTATACCCACTGTATATATACAGATACGTATATATAGACACAACAGTTCTTTCTGTTCCTCGAATCTGATTGGCCGAGAGGAATGCGATATTCTAGTGATAACAGAGCTCCAACTGTTTCACCGTTTGTATCACTCCGCTTGCAGTAATTCTCACAGCGAGTGTCATGGCAGACGCCCAAATCTGCAGTCTTTGGTCTCATTAATCTCTAATTTGTTGCTGAGCAAATAGTTTTGGCTGAGAGCAAAATCTCATTATTGTTATATTTTATATCACTTTAATGCTGTATGTCAGAGTGCTTTGCCTAGCAACTTTTATGATGGCTGTTGTTGTTTATTAAATATTATGATTCAATAAATTGTTTTATATAAATAATAGTAGTATTTAATTATAATATTTAGTATTGGGAAACAGTGTGCGTATTCGTGATGGTGATTTTAGTCATAGATTTGTATAAGTAGATGCCTCATTAGCGACTGTTTCTATGGGCCGCTATGTGTAAGCCATCCGCCATATTGGAAGGGTCAACTTGACGTCCGTGCTTGGAGCTGTCGAATGAGGCATCTACCTATACATATCTATGATTTTAGTTGCATTATTGAAATATGATGAAATACCTGTAATGATAAGAACTGATCTGAGTGATTATATCACTGTATCGATTTTCCAGCACCTGTCTTTAATGAACTATTATGCATGAGCTATTATAGTATCTCTGTAGTATATTCTATATTAGAGATCTGTCTCCTGTTACTTTAAAGCCCCTCCGCGTGAGGGAGGAGCTGCTGTTTAGCCAACAAACTGTCAGAGAGAGAGAGAGAGTTGTGGCTGTTGTACCTTGCTTAGCAGGGACAAGCACACAATAGTAGGTCGTCAGGGGTGTGTTTCCACTGTCCACTTATGGCTTGTGGTGGAACCGTCTGTCCATGTACAGTAAGCATGAGATTATCAGAGGCAGAACAGGTTTGTCAGCACATTAGCACCATGGGATTTGAGCTCAGTGTAGTCTGGAGTTGCTCTTGACATGGATGCCTGGCCACTCGTGGGACGCCCCGTGCTGAAAACAAGTGGAAGGGAAAAAACAACTAAATATAAAGCCACTATGGAAAGTCAGATGGGTTTAAACATTCAACCATACAAGGAAATAGATTGTGTCCTTGCAGCTCTCAGCCATAAATAGTCCATTGCAATTATTATTTTTTTTTTGGGTGCAGATTGATTTTAAACATGCCACTCATTTAATCTATCACTAAATGAAAGGGACATTGGAGTTTAAAAGCAATTCAGTAACACTTTATTTTAAAGACCAGTTCTCGCTATTAACTAGTAGCTTATTAGCGTGCATATTACTAGCATATTGGCTGTTTATTAGTACGTATAAAGGACATATTAATGCTTTATTCTGCATAAACAGATTTAGATTTTTGGGTGAACTGTCCCTTTAATGCTGATTTACAGTTCTATCTGCAAAAGTGACTCAACTTCAGCAATTTGTTTCATGTTGTTTTTCTTGAACACAAATTCTACAAACATATTCATGTCAGCCATGCATTATTATTATTGTGGAAACACAGACGGTAGAATCAGTAGACATCAATTTGTTCAGTACATGTAGTGTTAATCTTTATTATGCTCCGTGGTATTTAACATCTTTGATCTTTGACTTTGCCAGCACTGCTGTAGATTCATGCTCTAAGTGTAAATGATGACCTTTCACCTTTCCCTTCTCCGCAGCTTGACCTGAGTCAGCCGTTAGTGGAGCAGGGTCCCCTGGACGTCATCATTCACAAGCTAACAGACCTGATCCTGGAAGCAGACCAGAATGACACCCAGTCCCTGCTGCTGGTCCAGCGTGTGCAGGTGAGAGGCGTGCTGAGGGCCTGTCTGAGCATGTGTGCTGTCGTCTTCAGCCCACTGCCTAGATCTGCAGCTCTGATTAAGATGCAGGAATTTGAATCTGATTAAAGGCTGGAATACACTACACATCGTTTGCCCTGATTTTTGCCTCAATTTACAGTCTGGAGAAGTTGACGCTTGTTGCTGAAAGTCAGAACCAGCCTGTAGATTGGAGTTGACAGATTTCATAGAAAATCACTGGGGGTCAAGCCGTAACCGGAAAAGGAAGAGAGTCTCAATACCAGAGAGATGCTGAATAACAAGAGCTTTATTTACAATTTAGCGTCGGGCAGACGAGGCCAAAATGATAAACAAAATGAGCTTCTTTTTTTTTAACCCTTTACACTTCCTAAATCATTTATTAATAATGGCGTCAAACGCCCTACATCCCTTAACTTACCAAAAACTTTTTTACAAAGTATTTACAAGATATATATGTATAAGTCGATAGCTAACAGTTCAAAATCAGAATCCAAAATCGTAGTCAATCAGGCGTGGGTCAAGTTATAACACCGGTTGAAATCATGAACACTATGACAAAATTACAATCACACTCACAATCTCTCTAGTCAGACACTTTAAGACTTAAACAAATGATGATGGCGAAACAGCAAAGGCAATAAGCTACACAGTCACGCACCATGGCACATTAATGGCAGAGGTTGAGTATTTGGGGCGGTCCTTATATCTGGATCAGGTGAGGAGGAGAACCAATCGCAGCCTCCAGCAAATTATCATAAGGAACCGCCCACCTGTAACACAAACATGCACATGCACATACACAGAGACTATATACACAGGACAGAATGGAATCAATGGACAAATGACTCGGGCTCATAACACATGTAGTGTATGATGGTCACAGACAGATTTTTTTAGCTTCAGACTCTGATTCTATTTAATTTACCTGAATTTAATCTCTGTCATTCACTTGAAAGTGAAAGGAAATTAAAAAACGTAATTACAGAGCAATGATCATTATGAGAAAGGTTTTGCATTTAAAGTCTTTATTAATCCAAGATCATTTTATTTTATTATCTTGCTTTGTGTTTGGGTTTTCATTTTTAGTTATAGTGTACATTTTTAATAGTGCATAAAGTTTCAGTCTCATTTTCGTTTTTTGAAAGAGACTTCTTGTAGTTTCAATGTTTGCTTTAGCAGAAATTGCATCATACTCAACCTCAAATTATAGGGATTTGTTGGTACAGTAATATACTGACACAATGTAATAATTATTATTATTATTTTTTTTATTCTTTACATCTTGTATTATAATTTATTTATGTGTACATTCATTTCCTACAGTTCAGTTAAAAAAAAAAGTCTAAATAAATCACTGGATTGATAAAAATAGTTGGAACCATGACTACAGAAATTATATAATATAATATAATGTTGTATATTGTTACAAAAGATTTCTATTTTGAATAAATGTTGTTCTTTTTAACTTTTTATTCATCAAAGAATCCTTAAAAAGGCATCACATATTCCAAAAGAATATTAAGCAGCGCAACAGTTTCCAACATTAATAATAAACCAGCATATTAGAATGATTTCTGAAGGACCATGTGACATTGAAGACTGGTGTAATGGCTGAAGAAAATTCAGCTTTGCATCACAGGAATACATTAATTGAAAATAAGCTATGAAAGGCATTTTAAAGCAGAGACGGACGTCACAGGTCATGTAGTGCCTTGAGTAGCAGGCAGACAGACGTTGGTGTTTTGTTACTTGTGTCTCGAATGGCGTAAAGCATCATGAATAACTGATTGGTCCTGTGTCTCTACACAGACATGAATGGAGAAAACGAAGTGGCTCTTGGCATCATGAATAACATGACACAAGATATTACCATTGGAGAAGTATTGATCAACTCAAACATTACGCACTGCACATTATTTGCCAGTGACTCTATTTAAACTATTTAAAGAAAAAATGAAGAAATATGGTTAAATTAATAAAAAAAATATTCAACTGGCAACCCTAGCGAATGATAATTTATTTAATGCAACACTGTTTGGGTGGGAAGGACAGTTATTAATAATATTTATCAATAAAAAACATAGTTGTAAATAATTGTAAATACATGTAATTGTAAATAAATAATTATTTTATTTTAAATGAAAATGGTTCGATGTAGTAGTAGTAATAATAATAATAATAGATCATTTCATGTTTCTTTCCAAGTTTATGCCTCAGTTGTACAATGGTGAGCAAAAAAATACTGTATCAAATAAAAATAATAAATAAATTCATATGTTTTAGACATTTCTAGTATTTTTCAAACTATAATTGGTCTGTATACGTTAAATTATACAGCTGCTATAAATGTATTTATGTATGTTTTTAGTGAACTGTAAATGCAATGAATGCATTAATTTTGCATTGATGAATGCAAAACGATATATATAGAACTCTACCAAAAGCTCTGCTTATTGTATTTTTACATATTAATTAACTTATAGTTATTATTATTATTAATGATGATGATAATAATAGTAATTTTTATATTTTTTGTTATAGAAGTTTTAAAGCACTTTACTTGTGATTTAATACGTTGTAAACAACTCTTTGAGATTATATGAGTGTAATATTGATATTAAAATATCTTTTTTATAACAGACTTCTAACAAAGCTCTGCTCTCAAACGTAAAATTCACTGTACAGTGCAACAGTTGAGATGAGATTTATTCATTAATGTATGATGAAATACCTGTACTGGTAAGAACTGATCTGATCTGATTATATCACTGTATCGATTTTCCTCCACCTGTCTTTTATGAAGTATTATGCACTGAGTAACTGTAGTATATTCTATATTAGAGATCTGTCTCCTGTTACTTTAAAGCCCCTCCGCGTGAGGGAGGAGCTGCTGTTTAGCCAACAAACTGTCAGAGAGAGAGAGAGAGTTGTGGCTGTTGTACCTTGCTTAGCAGGGACAAGCACACAATAGTAGGTCGTCAGGGGTGTGTTTCCACTGTCCACTTATGGCTTGTGGTGGAACCGTCTGTCCATGTACAGTAAGCATGAGATTATCAGAGGCAGAACAGGTTTGTCAGCACATTAGCACCATGGGATTTGAGCTCAGTGTAGTCTGGAGTTGCTCTTGACATGGATGCCTGGCCACTCGTGGGACGCCCCGTGCTGAAAACAAGTGGAAGGGAAAAAACAACTAAATATAAAGCCACTATGGAAAGTCAGATGGGTTTAAACATTCAACCATACAAGGAAATAGATTGTGTCCTTGCAGCTCTCAGCCATAAATAGTCCATTGCAATTATTATTTTTTTTTTGGGTGCAGATTGATTTTAAACATGCCACTCATTTAATCTATCACTAAATGAAAGGGACATTGGAGTTTAAAAGCAATTCAGTAACACTTTATTTTAAAGACCAGTTCTCGCTATTAACTAGTAGCTTATTAGCGTGCATATTACTAGCATATTGGCTGTTTATTAGTACGTATAAAGGACATATTAATGCTTTATTCTGCATAAACAGATTTAGATTTTTGGGTGAACTGTCCCTTTAATGCTGATTTACAGTTCTATCTGCAAAAGTGACTCAACTTCAGCAATTTGTTTCATGTTGTTTTTCTTGAACACAAATTCTACAAACATATTCATGTCAGCCATGCATTATTATTATTGTGGAAACACAGACGGTAGAATCAGTAGACATCAATTTGTTCAGTACATGTAGTGTTAATCTTTATTATGCTCCGTGGTATTTAACATCTTTGATCTTTGACTTTGCCAGCACTGCTGTAGATTCATGCTCTAAGTGTAAATGATGACCTTTCACCTTTCCCTTCTCCGCAGCTTGACCTGAGTCAGCCGTTAGTGGAGCAGGGTCCCCTGGACGTCATCATTCACAAGCTAACAGACCTGATCCTGGAAGCAGACCAGAATGACACCCAGTCCCTGCTGCTGGTCCAGCGTGTGCAGGTGAGAGGCGTGCTGAGGGCCTGTCTGAGCATGTGTGCTGTCGTCTTCAGCCCACTGCCTAGATCTGCAGCTCTGATTAAGATGCAGGAATTTGAATCTGATTAAAGGCTGGAATACACTACACATCGTTTGCCCTGATTTTTGCCTCAATTTACAGTCTGGAGAAGTTGACGCTTGTTGCTGAAAGTCAGAACCAGCCTGTAGATTGGAGTTGACAGATTTCATAGAAAATCACTGGGGGTCAAGCCGTAACCGGAAAAGGAAGAGAGTCTCAATACCAGAGAGATGCTGAATAACAAGAGCTTTATTTACAATTTAGCGTCGGGCAGACGAGGCCAAAATGATAAACAAAATGAGCTTCTTTTTTTTTAACCCTTTACACTTCCTAAATCATTTATTAATAATGGCGTCAAACGCCCTACATCCCTTAACTTACCAAAAACTTTTTTACAAAGTATTTACAAGATATATATGTATAAGTCGATAGCTAACAGTTCAAAATCAGAATCCAAAATCGTAGTCAATCAGGCGTGGGTCAAGTTATAACACCGGTTGAAATCATGAACACTATGACAAAATTACAATCACACTCACAATCTCTCTAGTCAGACACTTTAAGACTTAAACAAATGATGATGGCGAAACAGCAAAGGCAATAAGCTACACAGTCACGCACCATGGCACATTAATGGCAGAGGTTGAGTATTTGGGGCGGTCCTTATATCTGGATCAGGTGAGGAGGAGAACCAATCGCAGCCTCCAGCAAATTATCATAAGGAACCGCCCACCTGTAACACAAACATGCACATGCACATACACAGAGACTATATACACAGGACAGAATGGAATCAATGGACAAATGACTCGGGCTCATAACACATGTAGTGTATGATGGTCACAGACAGATTTTTTTAGCTTCAGACTCTGATTCTATTTAATTTACCTGAATTTAATCTCTGTCATTCACTTGAAAGTGAAAGGAAATTAAAAAACGTAATTACAGAGCAATGATCATTATGAGAAAGGTTTTGCATTTAAAGTCTTTATTAATCCAAGATCATTTTATTTTATTATCTTGCTTTGTGTTTGGGTTTTCATTTTTAGTTATAGTGTACATTTTTAATAGTGCATAAAGTTTCAGTCTCATTTTCGTTTTTTGAAAGAGACTTCTTGTAGTTTCAATGTTTGCTTTAGCAGAAATTGCATCATACTCAACCTCAAATTATAGGGATTTGTTGGTACAGTAATATACTGACACAATGTAATAATTATTATTATTATTTTTTTTATTCTTTACATCTTGTATTATAATTTATTTATGTGTACATTCATTTCCTACAGTTCAGTTAAAAAAAAAAGTCTAAATAAATCACTGGATTGATAAAAATAGTTGGAACCATGACTACAGAAATTATATAATATAATATAATGTTGTATATTGTTACAAAAGATTTCTATTTTGAATAAATGTTGTTCTTTTTAACTTTTTATTCATCAAAGAATCCTTAAAAAGGCATCACATATTCCAAAAGAATATTAAGCAGCGCAACAGTTTCCAACATTAATAATAAACCAGCATATTAGAATGATTTCTGAAGGACCATGTGACATTGAAGACTGGTGTAATGGCTGAAGAAAATTCAGCTTTGCATCACAGGAATAAATTATATTTTAAAGTATATTAAAATAGACAACAGTTATTTAAATTGTGATAATATTTTGCAATATTACAGTTTTTTTTCTGCATTTTTTATCACATAAATGCAGCCTTGGGGAACAGACTTCTTTCAAAAACATAAAATATAAAATACACACATACAACCATGTTTTATTATAATGATAATATTGCACAAAATACCTTTTTTCTTTAATTCTGATTCCCATCATACAACTTTGTTTTTGTTTTGTTGTCTTGTGAAATGTCACCTCAGCTACTCACCTCTAAATGAGAATGTAAGAGCGCTGAGCCTCTTAATGTTCTTAAACAAAGCTCTCTCCTAACACCGCGCTCTCACTAAGCATGCGCTTAATGTGTACAGTACATAGATTTACATAAGACACAGAATGATCTGAGCACTGACATAGTGTTCAATCAAAATCCTGTGAAACTGGAGATATTTTTTTTTGCTGTTGTGTAACCTATTTTGCTCAGAGCTGGTAGAATGTGTCTTCACCCACTCATGAGACTGCGCTCTACTCCCCCCCTCCCCCCTCTGGGGGAGCGGATCACGGCGGCCACGGCGTACCTGGGGGTAAGGACAGACAGACGAGGCGAGAGAAAAGGAGACGGAAGGATGAGGAGAGATAGAGACGAGAGAGGGTAGAGAGGAAAAAAATAAAATAAATCTTGTTCCGGTTCCCAGACACACTGCCGCTCGGCCCTCCACCAGCTGGGTAAACTCTTCCGCGATGCCAGACGGCGGCACTGGACAGCCCTCGGTGGACGGCCCGACACTCCTCCGCCGCCCGGTGGCCGGCGACGGCTCCCATTTACTCCACCGGCCTCGCTCCGTTCCCACGGCTCTCGGCCCCGCCCCTCTCGTCACAAATGCATTTCTTCATATTCAGTCAAATGTTATCATATGATTGGAGTGAATGGGGACAGTGAAGAGAAAGACAGCGAGTGGTTATGCCAACTGAATGCAAGACTGCGATGTTGTTTCTTTTACATAACAGCAGTGTAACAGGCTTCATGTGTACATGTCTTTGTATGTGCGGCGTGTTCATTAATGCATACAAGTTTATACATGTTAGATAGTTGCATTTTAACAAGACCAGTAAGTAATGTTAGAACTTGAAGATTTCAGTTAGTCATGTTATTGACTACTGTCTCCTGTACACCTTCCTTGTTGTGACCTGTTCCACTGGTCTTGCAGGATTATATTGACGCTCACCCAGAGACCATCATTCTTGACCCACTTCCAGCCATCCGAACTCTGCTGGACCGCTGCAAGTCCTACCAGCTGGTGCACAGGATAGAGGACTGCATGAGAGGTACTGTGATCCAGCACCCCTGTTCCTTCTTCCATTTTCAGGTTATACCAATGGTAATTTGCCCAACTACAAGATGCACTCACAGTTTGGGGTGAACTTTGTAAAGTAATGGTCTGGTAAGAGCTGTAACACAGCAGTTGGCATTAGAGGTCGACCAACGATTCGGGACCAATATAATGTAATTTAAAGGAAAACTATGTGAATGGCGCTCTGTGGCGCGGCAGGATTTTCTGTTGACTGCATTTAAATCCACGTCTGAAGTTTCCCGCTCTGTTCAGCGTGCAGTATCACGTGTCTAAATAAATAGCACGTGCTGTCAGTGATTTCAACCACTAGAGGCCGCTCTTGCACTGTGTAATGACAGCAGACCCTTCTCAGCCACTCCAGCAATGGACGCAACCCGGAAAACTATCGGCATGGATTTTTGCCGATAACCGATAGTTCCAGCAATCAACTATCGGTGCCGATTAATCGGCAAAACCGATACATCGGTCGACCTCTAGTTGGCATGTTGAGCTTTGGTGCTCATGCAGGAAAAACAGGTTTGAGTCTGACCTGCAACATGTTCCCATTCCGTTCTTTTGCTTTGCTTAAAAGAATAGCTCTCCCAAAATTTAAATTGCTGTTAACATTTACTCACCCATTATCTTTTTACTTTCTTCTGTGGAACCAAAAAGGTGTATTTAAAGAATATCCTGACTGCTCTGTTCCATATCATGGAAGGGAATGGGGACTGGGGCTGTCAAGATTCAAAATGACAAAAAACACAATGAAAGTATCATAGACATGGACTCGTGCACAATATTCTGAAGCCATATGAAAGTTTTGTGTGACAAACAGACTGAAATTTGAGTCGTTATTCACTGGAAATCTTAATATCCACCTTATCCACGGAAAATAAACCGTATCTGATTCATTTGTGAGTAAATTGCTCTTTGATCTGCACTTCACACATTCACCTACCATCTACCATCTTCTATTTCCACACAAATGACATTTTGGGAAATGATTGCTATACACTTTATGTGTATGTCTGGAACAGAGATAAAAAAAAAAACAGGCCGTTGTAGATTGTGCATTATGAATTACCACAGTATTTCACGGTATCGTGATACTACTTGATATCATGATACTTCAGCTGGTGTAGTATCGTAACGTATGTTTATGGTATAGTGACAACCCTACTAGTCACCATTCATTGTAATTGCATGGAAAAAAGTGAAAAGTACTTTTAAAATTTCTTGTTTTGTATTTCAATAAAGTAAGTCATAGAGGTTTAAAGCAATATAAGTGTGAGCGAATAATGACATTTAATAATGAACTTTAATTTTTGGGTGAATGAATATTTTAAATAGTGGATTTCTCCAGAACACCCATATTATAGCGACCTCATCTCCCCTCCACAGAAAGCATTTGGTTCTTCCCTGAGCAGGCGCGTATGTTCATCTATATTTGTCTTTGTGGGCTTCCTGTGTGTCCGGGTTCTATTGAACCAGACGCGACAGATGGTTATGTAACAAAATCATCTGTAAGCCCCCAGTCTGTGTCTCTCCTTTTCTTCTTTTTCACTGATATCAGAGCATCCCACTCTTTATCTAACGAAACCATGAAAAAGACTTTAGTTATGCTACAAACATTTAAAGTGGTCATATGATGTTGCTAAAAAGAACATTATTTTGTGCATTTGGTGTAATGAAATGTGTTTATGCGGTTTAAGGTAAAAAAAAAAACACATTATTTTCCACATACTGTACATTATTGTTTCTCCTCTATGCCCCGCCTTTCTGAAACGCGTCGATTTTTACAAAGCTCATCGGTCTGAAAAGCGAGGTGTGCTCTGATTGGCCAGCTATCCAGTGCGTTGTGATTGGCCGAATACCTCAAGCGTGTGACGGAAATGTTACGCCCCTTACCATACTGTGATGCCGTGTCCCGGCCGGAGCGACGAGACAAAAACATTAAAACCCATTATAAACGAGGCATTTGTTGCATCCAGTGGGGGACATAATTACGGATTATAATGACTTATACTGTGTTTTTACGCATTACGTTGCATCGCGCCGCGTAAACATAAAACCATGTCTGCATTTGTGATCGGAGAAATGACAAACAACAAGCACTACTCTACACCGCCCAAAA